AGCTAACATGCTTCTGTGTTCTCTATATACAGTGCACAAAGAAACAATTTAAGTGAGGGAGGCCAAATGAAAGTTTGGCCCTCTGCCACTTTTCATCTTCTTTGAATGCTGCAGTTACTCCTATTATAAAAGCTAATTTTACATCCAATTTTAGTTATGATTTTTGATTACATGCTCCAAGCTTTTGTTTTTTACTTCCATAAAAGCAGCGTATTATTAACCTGATAATTCACTTCATGATCACCTAACTTCAAGGGTGATGCCAGCAAAGAGACAGCTGGCACATCTCAAACCTTGGCTTACAATACGTCAGCTAGATATCTACAGCACACACAGGATCAAGTACTCCATTCCTCAAGATGCAGACCTTCAGAAATATTGCATCAGGAGCTGGACAGTCCATAAAGTGAGAACACTGGTTCATGAAAAATGTCATGGTCACAGCATTTGCTTTCATTCTGTCCTAAAACAAATCCGTGACAAGTCCCCCACAGAGTGCCCTCTCCTGCAGGCTATTAGCCTCTCTAAATCCCTCTTGTTGGGCCTGTTCCACTCTGCCTAAATAACCAACTATTCAGTGGGGTGGAGAGGGACTAAATGTATGGCCTAGTGATTAGTACACCCATCTGTGATGCAACAGACTCATCTTCATTTCTCTGTTCATGACTGACTATTGCATTGTTTCTCTCGGACCTAAAATTGTATCCTGAGCCTAAGAAATCTGGCTGCTGACACTCTTATTGAAACTCAAAAGCTTTCCCCAAAAGTTTTAAATTTCAAGTAATAATGTCTTCCCCAGAAAGCAAAATTCCCAAATAGTCCTGATCAAGAGCACACAGTTGCCCTGCTGCACCTTACATAGTTTCATAGCTTCTAGGGTCGGAAGGGACCTGAGCAGATCATCTAGTCCGACCCCCTGCCATGGCAGGAAGAGCACTGGGGTCAAATGACCCCAGTAAGGTGGTCATCCAACCTCCTCTTAAAAACCCACAGGGTGGGAGCCTGCACCACCTCACTTGGAAGCTGGTTCCAGACCCTAGCCGCCCTGACCGTGAAGTAGCGCCTCCTGATGTCCAACTTAAACCTTCCCTCCGCCAGCTTGTGACCATTGTTCCTGGTCACTCCTTGCGGCGCTCGGGGGAACAGGGACTCCCCCAGCGCCTGCTGTTCCCCCCTAACCAGTTTATAACAGGCCACAAGATCCCCCCTCAGCCTTCTCTTTTGAAGGCTGAACAGGTTCAGGTCCCGCAACCTTTCCTCATAGGACCTACCCTGCTGTCCCTTGATCATACGAGTGGCCCTCCTCTGGACCCTCTCGATGCTGTCCACATCCCTCTTAAAGTGCGGCGCCCAGAACTGGACGCAGTACTCCAGCTGCGGCCTGACCAGTGCCGCATAGAGGGGGAGGATCACCTCCTTGGACCTGCTCGAGATGCATCTGTGGATGCACGACAAGGTGCAGTTGGCCTTCCTAGCCGCCTCCCCACATTGCCGACTCATGTTCATCTTGGAGTCAATAATGACTCCCAGATCCTTTTCCACCTCCGTGCTGACAAGAGGGGAGTTCCCCAGCCTGTATGTGTGGTGCCGATTGTTCCTCCCCAGGTGCATCACCTTACACTTGTCCGTGTTAAACCCCATCCTGTTCTCCTCCGCCCATCCTTGTAACCTATCTAGGTCTAACTGTAGCCTGTTGCACCCCTCAATTGTGCCCACATCCCCCCACATCTTAGTGTCATCAGCAAACTTGAACAGGGTGCTTTGCACCCCCTCGTCCAAATCACTGATGAAGATATTGAACAGTGCAGGCCCAAGGACCGAGCCCTGTGGGACCCCCCTTCCCACGTCCTTCCAGGTCGAGAAGGACCCATCCACTACCACCCTCTGGGTGCGACTCTCTAACCAGTTGGCGACCCATTGGACTGTATGGGTGTCTACGCCACAGTCGTCACATCTTCGCCCGAAAGCTGGGTTCCATTGAAAAAGAGTACTTGTAACACAGTATCACTTTGCAAATATGCTAGTATCCTTACAGGGACTCTTCTACCATTTCATTTCCCTCCTTCACAAGTGCCTGAAATTCTACTGTGTTATCTCTTTGGTAGTCACAAGGCCTCCATGATCATGATGTACAATGCCCTGCTTGAGGTGATGACAAAGATGTATCAACCAATCCCTACTAATCCTGTAAAAAATTCACATTTCTTTAACAACAAACCTGACGTAAAACCCATTGCTACTTATAAGTTTCTTGAGGAACTTCTCTCTCCCATCACCCTTGAGAAGAATTGATAATATGAGGCTAATTCCACAATGACTATCCTGAGAGAAGTAACATGGCCAATATCAATATGCTCCAAGTCCTCTTTGAATCAGATTTTCCTTCTGAAAGTCACGTGAACAGAGAGGCCGAAGTTCCTGAATAGGGCACCAATGAAACCTAACAATTTGCTATCTTGTCTTAGTGCTCTTGGCAAAAGTTCTGCTGTACCCAAGTTTCATTTTGCCTCAATGCATGCAATTCTTTGACTGCCGATACTTGCAAAAATCTCGCTACATGCAAATTTAGTTCAGAAATCCATAAAACAAAGTATTCCTTATTTAACTTTTACAGCAAGAAAGGTTTATCCATTCTTTGCGAAGCACTGAATAGAGTCCATAATAGCCTCTGAAAGGCTTGGATGACCCAGTCCTAATACTTCCTTGTCTGACTCCTGTACTCATGAGAGAAGCAAGATTTAAGCAATATCTTTTATTGGATAGTTGGGAGAGATGTCAGACAAGGTTTTGGCTACAAAATGCCCTTCCTCAGCTCTGGGAAAGAAGCAGATCTAGCCTAAGCCAAATACCAAGTAGAACAATGACTTTTGTTTAACTTCATTATGCAAATGAAGATGATCATTTAAAAATGGGAGAGAGAGCAATAAAACTGTGGAGCAAAGAGAAATCATGAAAAGTATGTACAGTGAAGAGCAAAAAGCACAGCAACATGTTTTGTCATATTTCTTATCCTTGTGACCACCACCATAATTTGACCAGCGAGGTATAAGGATTACAAAAATAGATACTGCACATAGGAGCAAGGCCAAGAACAAGCAAAAAAAAAAAAAAAAAATTACAAAAAGAGGAAGGGCAAAAAAAAAAAAAAATTACAAAAAGAGGAAGGGCAAAAAAAAAAAAAAATTACAAAAAGAGGAAGGGCAAAAAAAAAAAAAAATCCCAAAAAAAAAAAAAAATCACTAGAACAGTAAAACGTATTTAGAGTTTTGGTTTAGCAGCATCTCTCCTTGGAGACATCTTACCAAACTCAAAACTGCTAATCAATGATTCTCTTCCTAGTGGGGCATCACTATCATCCATTTTCATGAGGACCAACTGTTGGCTATACAAGATGGCAGCCACGCTATAAATAAGTTCAGTAACTATACTGACATACCAGTATAATAAAAAGTGCTATAATGGACTAAACCACCAAAACTTAAGGTACATCAAAAATTACTATGACACAATGCAATTCAGAAGCAGTAACACAGAAAGGTCTTCAGGACTCTGTGCATATGTGAAACAGGCTGAGCCTTTTTGTATAAGGCAAGATATAAACCTAAACAACAACAACCATCATTATTATCTTTGGGTTTTAAGATTAAGACCATAAATTACAACAACAACAACTTAGTAATGTGAGCATTTCTGTTATGGTGGAATCTCTTCTAAAGAAGATTCATACCACAGATGTTTCGATGCACTGGAATCAGTTTATTTATAACAAAAAAGCCATCCAATTATGATCTTAATCCACCTTTACCCACTTTGCAATAGTTTCAATAACCCTCTTACAAGTCTTTTATAAATCTAAAGAAGATGCTGTTCTTAAACACTTGTTTACTATCATTCAGTTTCTGAAAACTTCTAGCATGACATCAGGAACATCTCTGAAGGAATAGACAGTACTCACTTTTCAATACCTCCCACTGAATTAATATACCTGAATTATTTACTAGTCAAATTATTTTAAATAGCCTGGTTAATTAGCATTCTTTTGATGGAATTACTCATATGCAATCCTTTTTATTTAAAAATACAAAAAGAATCTCAAAATGAGTGGTGGCTGGGTTTTTCTCCCTTTAAATCCAGACAGTTAGGAACTGATTAGCTGACAAGACTTTGTTCTATGGGTGCAACTTTTAAAAACCACTGCCTCAGAATTTGAGAATGTAAACACAATAGCTTTCAAATTTTAAATGCTAGGGTTTCTTAAAACAACAAAAGCGAATCTATTTGTACTTCTATATTAAAACCAGACTGTTGTGCAGATATCAACATGTCCAATGAAAGCCCCATTTTACGAAGTCGTATCACATCTACAATAGCTTTTGCGTGATAGGCCTGTTAGATACATGCCCTTTTAAAATTTTCCAAACCATTAATAATTTTGATTTACAATTAAATTAATGCTCGTTTATAACAACTCTGGTTCAGATTCTTTTTTAATCCCTGGTATTTCCAAAAATATTATAGCGTACTAATACAGGTGGCATATACTCCCTGTTGATATTACTGTGCAGGATAGCTGTCCTAATACATAAGGTTCAAGAGTGCCTGTTATGCCACTGCCAAGAGACAGACAATCTTCAGCATCTTCAACCCATCATCTTATGCCTCTCTGAATGAGTTAGTCTGTAAGATGCCAGCATCACAGCAAGACAGCAGAATTCAGATCCCCACTTCCAACCCATCTACTACCAAGCAGAAATTAGGTGACTGATATCAGTATTTTAAGACTAGGAATCCAAGGTAAACCAAAGCCATATTTAGAGGATCCATGCCCATTCCAACAACTGTAGACGTAATTCAGTTGTGCACACAGCAACTATTTATAAGTGAGATGCACATATCCAAGATCAAGCAACTACTGTAATATTATATGAAATACTGGGCCTCAAAATAAGCTTGCTAATAATAGGGTCTTTGGAAAGTCTCAAAATTTCTAGTGATCTTACCTGCTGTATTCAAGAGCTTGAATAGGTGATTAAATGAAGTGCTTGAGCATAGGGTATTGTACTGAAATACTTCGCAGGATTTGCCTGGGCCACAGATTATTTTCTAAAGAAAAGGAAAACCAAGAATGATTAAAAAGAGATTAAAAATCAGGTTTGATTAGTTTTCCTACCTCATTAGTTAAGACAACTTTTCTACAGCTGGATTACAGAGTATTTTTAACACCATGTATAAAACAAACACTAAGCCACATGTGACACATTATAATTATTTAGCACCTTAATACAATTTGACATGTCAAACTTTTTAGGTTGCAACAAAGAATATTCTGTGATCACACTTAATATTTCACTCAAAAAAGAGTAAGAACACAGGTTGAGAACAATGGTTTCTTGCAGGACCTACCCTAGTACATGTCTTAAGATTTTTACAAACAGCTGATTTACAGTCTATAGCCTCACATTACAGTGAAGATAATAAGTCAAAAAGTTTTGCAACCATTTAGCAAGATCCTTCCACAAGCAACAGATAGATTTACCGATTCTTCCTATTGCTTACACTCCCCATTTCTTTCATCTGAATGGGGACATCCCTATGAGCTTATCATCATTCCATGCAAATTCAGAAAACTATCGCGATATCCAGAGTTACAAATATAAGGCAGATTTGTATTTTTCTAAAACATGGAGTACATGTTCTTGGCAAACAGTTATTGCAAAAAACATACCAAGTAGAATTAAACTACTCTTTACACAAAGAATGTGTCAAGCTGTAAAACAGATTAAACAAACAAACAGCCTAAGAATCTGCTCTACCATGTTGTGCAAGTGTCTACAGTAAGCATTTCTTTTCAGGGCATGTTTTAATAACTCAGGTGACAAAATCAATATTTAGTGAAGTACAAAAGCGCTGACCTGGAAAAGGAAGTCCTAGTTGAGAAGTGATTTGATGGAACTCTGAGACACTCAAGGACAAATTGCTTTGTAACACTGACATAAATGAGTTATTTGCTTAAAACTTCAGAGCACTTATATGCAAATCTGGCTTAAAGCAATGCTGTCTACAAAGTACGTATTTATGTCTATGTGAAATTACTGCAAAATGCAGCACCTTAAAAAGAGCAACCGATGGGTAAACTTTCTGACACAAAAATGAACAATACTGGGAGACTTTTTTTCCCCCTTTATTTCAACACTTATAAAAGTACACACAGTTGAACCCATAAGAAAACACTCATACAAGCGGTATTATCATTTTAGTAATAAACTCTGTTAACTTTGTTTTATATAGGCAATTGGCAATCCCCTGGATCATGGTGTACGATGTGAGAGATCTAGTCAGGTACCTGATGAATCCACTTGTGGCTCACAAACCCAATTCAAATGACATAGCTTGTTACAGACACCACAGATCTATGCCCTGAGGCCATCACACCAAGACCTTCAACACATATACTTAGGTAAGAGTATAGAGAAGTAGAGGCTGCCCTAGACCTACCATCCCTGCTTTACACCACTGAGACAGAGTCCAAGGGCCAGACCAAGTCCAGACATTCAGTACCTCAATGGTTGTCACTCCTACCAGAGAGCAAAAAATGTGAGCCCTGCTAACACCTCAGCAGGGTGATGTCCCTTAGCCTTACTCCAACCAAGCAGTACCCATGAGGCAGGGGAGGCTAGGGTTTTGAGGCACCCTATGCTCACCTTACTCTGGAGGCTGCAAAATTGTAGTATTTTATAGGAGCTACCCCACCACAAGTAGCTCCACCACGTTGCCACTGGGCCCTCCAGTCAGATTCACAGATTTCATAGACATTTGGGCTGGAAAGGACCTCGCCAGATCATTGGGTCCAGCCCCCTGCTAAAGGGGCAGAAAGTCAGCTGTGGTCAGATGACCCCAGCAAGATAGGCATCCAAGCATATCTTAAAGGTATCCAGAGTAGGTGTCTGCACCACTTCTGGGGGGAAGTCTATTCCAAACTCTGGAGAAGTGGACGGTAAAGAAGTTTTTCCTCATGTCCAATCTCAAACAGTCTCCCAGCAGCTTACTGTTATACCCAGAACCAAAACCTGTTAAAAAAAGAAGATCAAGGTATTTTTATTTTTTATAAACTTCTGAAAGCTTGTGAATTGTTTTATAATATGTAAATAAGATAAAAAAAGTTAAGCAACCAACAGAGAAAATTAACCCCAAACAGCCACAATATTTAACCAAGTACATTTGTAGAGACAGTAGCCAGCACAATTAAATATTTACAACCAACCCACATTTCCTGTACGCAAGGCTGAGAAGAGATCTCATATCTGTTCATCAACTATTCTTGGGAATGGACTCTATTATCTAACTGGCCTTGTCTGTCTCTGCCTCTTGCAATCTGCGTACAAGGCTGCCCCGGCAAGCCCAAGGAACTTATTTTGGAGAAATAGTGCATCAGTAGCTTCAAGCAATATGTGCCACATGTGTTCTGGAGAACAGATGTTGTTTCAATATCTCCCTTTCGGAGTTCATCATCGTATTCCTTCACCTTAATGTGTCCGCTGGGCTGGGCTGTGCTGACGGTGCAGCTTTCCCAGCATTTTCTTCAAAAGGACCAGAGGGCAGCTACCAGTCCATTCCCGCTCGATTCAAACATTACCCACCAAAAAACAACGAATTGATCCGTCTTCCCAGCCTCTCCACCCGCTTCATACAGAAATTCTCTTCATTTTATTTTTGTGAACGAGGGAATACAAAAGGTAACATGCTTCCCACACGACAGGGGCAAGCTGTCACTTGCGTACAAGACCGAGTCGCTACTTGGAGGACAGTAGCCTAGAAGACATCCATGCTCGGAGCGTCTTCCGCTTCCATGCTCGTCCTGTTGGGTCTCCTCTCTCCGCCACCATGCCAGGCGCTGCAGTCTGCGCTGGGGGGGTTTCCACAAGTCCTACGACGCACGGGCCTAACGGCGGTAAGCACATGGCTGCCCCCAGACAGCAAGCAGAACCCAATGGTGAGGAAAAGAGCAACGAATGACCGCCGCTCGATGCCCCCAAGCCACCACACGCGAGGGTGCGACAAAGACGGGCGAAGAGAAGGCGGCGCAATAAGACGCAGGCTGCGTGTTAGCTCCGCTTCCTCGAAGCTGCAGCTATCCTCCGGCCGACAGCATGTGCAGATGCCTCCAAGCCGAGTGCTCGGCTCCCAGCTTCATCACGGCCCGAGACCCCAAGAAAATGCACGTCCGCACCACAACTTGGGAGGCAACTGGCCCCTGACCATGCCAAGAAGGGAGCGCAGAGGAAGAGAGAGGACTCCCATTCCCTCAGCACCCACCCCCGGGCCTGGCAGGGACTGTTCTGCATAGCCCAGTGGGGCCTCAGCCTGCCCGACTGCGGGGAGCTCACAGCGGGGCACTGTCCCGACGCCGGTTCCCGCGCCGAGGGATGGAGCGGGAAGGGTCCCAGCGTTGCCCTGGCAACCGCCCCCCCGCCCCCGCCCCGGCGAGGACGTACCTGGCGCACAGCTCCCGCTGCAACCCCGAGCCCCGCTGACACCGAGGCGGAAGTACGGCCCCCAACATTCAGCGAGTGACGCGGCGAACGACCAATGAGAGCGCCGCCGCTGCGGCGAAGCGGCTAATCAGCGCCTCCCAGGGTCGGGCCCAGGCTAATGAGGACGCTAGGGTCGGAGCCCCGGGGGCCTGCGGGGGAGGCGGCCGGCCAATGGTGCGGCGGGAGAGGCGTGGTTATGCAAATCGAGACGGAGACGGGCAACTTGAGCATCAACACGGCCGAGGCGCTGGGCAGGCGGGGCGCGCGGTGCATGCTGGGCCGGGCGGCGAGGCACCTAACGGCCTCTCCCTCAGAGAATGATAACAACATAAATACATACATGAATATATAACAAATAACAATAAACAAATACATTAAAATTAAATTAATTTAATTTAAAAATACCCCTCAAAGGTGGGCTGCAGTCCTTCAGTGCCCTGCTGAGGCAGATCCTGCCTTAAATATATATATATACACATACATACATACATTCATACACACACACACAAATTAAGTATAAAAATAAATACATATATCAATACATCAGAATAAAACATAATGATTTCTTTTTTTAATTTCTCTCACCGAGTCCCTCAGGGCCCTGCGCAAGCAAAGCCTGAGGCAGATCCAGCCTGCTGCATCGTCTGGTCTAATAAAACATGATTATCACTTCTCCTTCTGCCTTATGGCTCCCAGCCCTGCTTTCTCCCAGGGGTTGGATCTAGGATTGGGAAAAGGGGGGTGCACAAGGCAAAACTGCACCGTGCGCGGCCTGGGGCTGTGGGATTTGGGTTCACGTGGAAGCCGAAACCAGGATATCATCATTGGGATGAGTTTTAAAAAAATTTAAAGCGGCCTGCAGCGCGTGAAATAGGAGCGGCAAACAGCCCTCAGGGCTGCATGATGAACGCCAGCTTCATTTAGGGCAACCCTAATGGAGTGGGACAGTCCCTCAAGCCCTGGTCCCGGGCTGGAGGCCCACAGGGCAGCATTTGTGCAGGGACGGAGGACCGGTGGGTTCCCCTTGCAGGCAGGCAGTCTTCCAGCCTGCAAGGTGCTGCCGGGAGCGGGACGTGGGGGTGCCATGGGCATGTGCGTACCCGACACGTGCATGTGGCTGGGAATGCAGCCAGGCAGCGTGGAGAGCAGCTCCCTGCAGGGAAGTCTATGGGGGGAGGTGGATGTGGGGAAAGCGGGGCAGACCAAAGCCCCCCATGATGAGGGAGGGAGTGGGGCAGGGGCTGGGGCACTGCCCAGCCGGGGCATGCCTGGAACAGGACAGAGCCATGGGGTGCATGGCAGGGGGGAAGAAGAGAGCGGCATTAACACCTGTGTAATGGAGTCTTAGAAAGGACGGGGTAGATTATAATGAGCTGTGAAATTAAGTGACTCCCTCGGCATTGCCGGACTAGAAATGCTGCTGCCCCTGGGTTTTAAACTCTGAGTGGAACAGCCCCTGGATTCGCCCCCGTGCACCCCCTGGATTCACACTGGTGCACCAGTGCACTCCCTGGATCCGCCCCTGCCAATTTCCATACACTTACGTGTGTGACAGCTCTGGGTTTACCTTGTGAATCGCGTGTGAGTGTCTGCACACCTAACTGTGCCCCTACTCCGTGGCACCCCTACAAGCATCCCACGGCTACCCCAGTCAAGGATCATGGTGTGTGTACCCATGCATGTATTATAGATTATGGGCTTTAGCATCTTTCTCCTTTCCTGTATTGTCTATTATTTTATTTTTCATATAACTTATTTCTTAGGCCCTCATATCACAATCTTTTATACAGCAGCTTAACTTTGTGCAACTGAACAGTGGTTCCTTGCAAGTCGTCATCATCATAGTAGTAGTAGGAGCAGTAGACCTGATCCTGCTCTACAATGTAGTGGTTATCCCACGCTCCTCTACAGGTGTGAGACTTGGGTGAAATATCAAAGCCATCTTAAGCACCGGGAATGGCTCCATCAGCATTGCCTCAGGAAGATCCTTTGTATTAGAAGGGAACACCGCTGCCCAATGCCAGCTTCCTTTCTGCAGCTAACATAACCAGTAGAGGCAAAGATCATGAAACATCAACTCTGCCGGGCTGGCCACTGTATGCCAATGGCTGACACTCGTGTCTCTTCCCTCAACTCAGTCAGGTTAAGAGAATCCGCGAAGGACAGAGGAAACACTACAAGGACACCCTGAAAACATACCTTAAGAAGGGTGGCATCACCCTACAAACTGGGAAGTGCTGGCTGGTAACAGGTCTCAGTGGTGCTGCCACACATCAAGCTACAGCCCACTTCAAAGAAAACCATCTTGCTCAGGAAGCCAAAAAACAGCAGAGGAGGAAGACAAGTGCGCAACATCCTGGCCAACAATTGTGCCCCCCCCCTCCCGGCACCACTTGTCATACCTGCGCATAATGACTACACAGTGCACATCTCATCCCAATGAATTTCAATCAGTAATGGCCTTTCATTGTGTATGGTTTTGTACTTCAGATAAATAGGTGTCTAAGCCAAAAAGAGTGTTTTTTAATCTTAAAAAAGGAGAAGATCTCACTGCCTGCATGTTTGTCTAATTCCTAAATTTATATCTTGTTTTAAATATGGGAGGGATGTGGGATCTGTGGCTGTCAGCACATTTCCCAGGCCATGTGTCTGAAGAAGAATATGAATGTTATGTAACTATCTAACTAATGGTTATTTGGAAGAGGAGTCGCTTCTAAAACAGGGATTCTCAACCTTTTTTTGTACCAAGACCCATCTGTAAACAATGATGGCCAGTCCCAAATCAGTAAATACTTCGTTTAAGTAGAAAACAACCCGCCTGGCCCTACCGGTGCCCCTCACAGCTGACCCAGTGCCCCCCACCTCCAAACCCCAGCCCCCCGCAGTGTGTGGAGTAGGGTGTGGGTATATGGGGAAGGAGCGGGGGTGTGTGAGTCATGGCAGGCTGCAGCTCTACCAGCCTGCAAAGGAAAACCCACAGTTTCCCACATTTTTCTTTTTTAAAGGAGAATCCAGTTTTAAAGTTTATTTGTGACCCTTTCATATATTCTTGCGACCCACTTTTGCGTCGTGACCCACAGTTTGAGAAACACTGTTCTAAAATACTCTTCTTATTGTATCTGATAGGGATACATGTTCTAGCTTTTAATCAATATTTAAAGTTCTTAACTGAGGTGAAGTACTCTCATTAAGCAGCCCCATTTGAGATTGTACAAGTCCCCCTATTGTAAAAACTGGTGAAGATAAAAGCCACCTTAGAAAGTAATTTTTTGTATTTTTGAATGAACAATAGGCTCAGCACCCCATAGCTCCACTCCATACAATTAAATAGACCCCACTTTAGATTTATAGACCTTTTATGCTGTCAGTATTGCCCTTCTACTGGTCTTATTGTAAAAGGATAACACTCCACCCAAATTGTAAAATTAATAATGCATCATGTTCATAAAACAAAGCAGGGATCAAATTATTCAATAGCACGGGTATGTGGAATTGATTCCCTGTTAGCAAATGTTTTATGTCATTCAGAAACAAATGAAACAGTGGTGAAGCAAGCAGACATCCTTGTTGCACCCCTGTCTTAGCCAGAAGACTACTACTGGTGGATAGGGCATGCCCAATCCCATAACACACCCTAGACATATTTGATTAGCAGGTGTCACCAGGTGCCACTGGTGAGTGACCCAAGGGTTCCTTCAATGGCTGGGTCCACACGCCACACCTGCTCTCACTCACCCGCCATGCCTTGATGTTGAATAATATGGAGAGGTAGCCTCACCCAAAAAAGGGGGGGAAGACCCCAAAAAGGGGTGGGGAAGACTCTAAAAGCAGTTGCTGCTGTCTTGATCCACATCACAGCTGCTAGCTGGGTCCCGACTCCACTGGTGTCACTGCCAGTTTCTCCTATAATTTTAATTGGTCTAAGCCTCCCTTTAAATCTATGAAAGCTACATATAAACAGTGTTGTCTTTTCACACACTTGGATGCCAAATAATGCAATGCTAA